AGCACTGGGAAGATCATCCAGGCAACAAATCAACAGAGTAACCATTACTCTTTCAGAAGGAGAGAAGAAATCTAGGGTTATCAGAGGTGGGAGGGGGGAGGGATAGGGGGATAGGGAGAGACTGGACAAGGGACGTAAAGAATAAGTACAATTTGTAACAATATATATACTAGTAATATTGAATTGATCAACATATGTCAACATTGAATCCCCAAAATATGTATAATCAACTATGATTCAACAAAAATCAAAAATAAATAAATGGCATGTTTGCACCAGAAAAAAAAAGGGAGGAAAAAATACCAAGACAACATTTCATCATTCATTAAATGAAACTGATTTGATAAATTCAATGAAGAACAGAGCATTTTACCTAAATGGAATGCTTGCCTAAGGTCTATGCCGACCACCTTCTTCAGTATTTTCTCATAATGATTCCTTCCTCTATTGATCCTCTGCTAAATGCCATGTACTCGAGGTTCAAAGCTACACTGGTGATCCAGACTGAGAAGGAAGGTCCTGAACCTTCAGAATACATAGTCAAGTGTAGGAAAGTCAACAACATAAGAGGACCATAAAACAGGAGAGCAATAGATTGAGATAAGGGCTGTGAAGGACATAAACAGTGATGTGAAAGAGACAACACAGGCAAAGAGGACAGCAAGTGCAGGGGCTTGGAGATGGGAAAGGGCTTGACTTGTATAAAGAAGAAAAAGGAGACTAGTGTATCCAAAGGGTATGATATATAGTAGAGGGAGAGCAGTAGGAGAAATTTTATTATTAGTGTGCACATTACTTAGTATGGGTCAAACCCTGTCCTAAGCAGTTCATCAATATTAACTCATTTAAGTCCTCATAGCATCCCTACAGTATATTATTATCTCCAATTTGAAGATGGGGAAACTGAGCATGCGAGAGGTTAAGTAATGTGCCCAAGGTCACACAGCTATCATAGAGCAAAACCTGGAATCCCATACCGCCAGGCAGTCTGGCTCTAGGGTATGCTCTCAACACTTGGCTATACTACCTTTCAGTGAGGCTGAAGAGCAAGTTTGGTTATACCTGACATCTTTTGAAAAATTTCCACCTCCCCAAACTCTCTCCTGAGCATAAAATATATTAGCAAGAAGAGAGAGCTAATAATTAACTCCACGACTGTGACTGATTAAAGCCTTAGATGTTCCTAATTGGAAAGGAAAAAAACTTGGGAAAGTTCCAAAAAAGGAACATTTTCTATTTAATGTGTGTCAGCACTGCAGTCTGACAAAAGAAGTAATGATTACAGGAAGGAAAAAACTTCCTCCAATCTTTCAGGCATACAGGTTTGCATGGAGCAAAGCAATATGAAAATTGGTACTTCGTTTTTACACTATGATTCCCACATACCTGTCCTTTAACTGACATTCCACAGGAACCCAGAGTCAGGGAAATTAAGCTATGACTTCCAGAGAGAAAAAAAAAAATCTCGGTGAGTCACACTGACACCACTTGGATTTTCCATCACAGGAAATGCAGGCAGCCTGTAGTTAGTTCTTAGCAGCTGCTGAATCCCTGCTGGAGTACCAGCCACCCCCAATGAAGAAACCACCTAGGCTACTGCCTGGCTCTTCCCGGAAACAGGGGTTTTATTTTTTTCATGCCTGTCTTTATTTAGAATGAAGCTGTGGCACATTCACATTTCTTAAGCTGGAGAAATAAAACATCATTTATTAACGGGGGGAAAAAAAAGTGGACTAAGGCACCAAATCTTAGAACCCAAGTTCCAGTTAATGCACAGGTCAACTCTAGAAAAACTTCAGAGGGTAACAGGAGGAGCTGAAATTCCAAATGCTGAAATCCTTAAAGGTGCTCACAAATGCATTTGGAAGATAGTACAATTGTGTATTGCCGCATTGCTGCTTTTCTGCCCACAAAGACAGACAGATAGGTAGGTAGACACTATAAGAGAGAGTGAGAAAAACTCAGTCAGGAATTTTATATAGTAGTAATCTACCTGATGATAACTGGTAAGTTCTTCTTGTTCAGAAAGATGTTAGAAGTAGTATTAATGAATTCAATTGCAAAAACAATAGCAGTGCGTTCTTCTAAACTTCTAAATACTGCTTTAAAACACTAAACGACTCATGGTCAGTTGTGCTCGGCAATGGTGTTCTGAATATAGATTCAAAATATTTAAGTATGTATATGGGGGACAATATGTCTAAATACACCTAGATGTGCAGTAGGCACTAAATTACTTTTGATGGATTGATTTGACATTCTCCTCATTCCAGACTGCTCCAGGGGCTTCTCAGTATTTCTCGGGATAATGGGTAAAGCCCTTCTTCCATGTATGTTCCTTCTCTGTGCTAACCTCCTAATGAGAGGGTTACTGTTCAGAATTGTCTCCTCAGAACTCTAGGCCTGCAGGAGAAAGTCTAAATAAGAGGGAACATTGCCCTTCTCCAGTTTTGTTCCCTAATCTGAGGAAGCCCCTGAAGTGCTGTTCCTATGGCTGGCTACAGTATCGCTGCCTTTTATATATAGTAACATTGGTTTTTTAAAAAATCACTTGACAAAGCTTTCTATTTCTGTAACATTATGTCAGGAAGGAAACCAAACCGAATGTCTTCTCAGAGGTGAAAGTATTTGTTTGCATTTTGGATGTTAGTTTTAAGTCCTTAAATTTAACTCCTGTGAGAATAAACCTTCTCCATTCCCTGACTCAGATAATATGTTACGCTCTCAATACTGAATTCACTTCAATAAAACATAGCCTGTAACTGTTCTATTGGTTTGACCTTGGGTGCTTCCCAGAAACTGCAGGCTTCAGGTGATCTATAGATTTCCCAAGAGAAGCCCTTGCTCCCGCTGGCACCACAAGGAATTTAAAATCTGCTGCATTCCGCATGACCACACCTAGGCCCACAGCATACATCTGCAGTGCAGGAAGTGGCCTTTTCCTTTAGGACACCTCCTTTCCCTACTTAAGGGATTAAACTTCCAACACCTGACTCTCCTGTCCTACCCATCCGCCCGTCTCTGCTTTTTCTTACCTCCTTCCCCACACTCACTTGTCCCCTTGGTTACAATGTAGCTCGTAAACTCGTGAATCCCAAAGAAAGTATCAGCAGAAGCCACAACGTCGCAGAATGACTCACTAACGAGTCTCCAGACCTGACTCTCCTGTCCTACCCATCCGCCCGTCTCTGCTTTTTCTTACCTCCTTCCCCACACTCACTTGTCCCCTTAGTTACAATGTAGCTCGTAAACTCGTGACTCCCAAAGAAAGTATCAGCAGAAGCCACAACGTCGCAGAATGACTCACTAACGAGTCTCCAGCCCCTTCCACCGCTCTGCAGCGGTCCCACCGCCGTGGCCCTGAGCCTCCCGCAGCGACACCAGATAAGGAGGGAAGTTTTCTGAAATCCAAGGAAGAACCTTAAATGAAGGTTCCTTCTCCACCCCTGAGGCGTCTTCTGCTCTAAGGCAGGAGTAAACGACCCATTTACCGGTTCCTATGCAAATAGACAAACGTTTCCCTGAGGCAGAAAGAAAACAAACACAATTCCCCCCAGGCTCTCCCCGAAGGTTCCTAGCAACACATCCACCTCCGCAGCAGGCGCAGCGCTCGCAGGCCAATTCCCAAACCAGCGTTACNAAAGCTTTCTATTTCTGTAACATTATGTCAGGAAGGAAACCAAACCGAATATCTTCTCAGAGGTGAAAGTATTTGTTTGCATTTTGGATGTTAGTTTTAAGTCCTTAAATTTAACTCCTGTGAGAATAAACCTTCTCCATTCCCTGACTCAGATAATATGTTACGCTCTCAATACTGAATTCACTTCAATAAAACATAGCCTGTAACTGTTCTATTGGTTTGACCTTGGGTGCTTCCCAGAAACTGCAGGCTTCAGGTGATCTATAGATTTCCCAAGAGAAGCCCTTGCTCCCGCTGGCACCACAAGGAATTTAAAATCTGCTGCATTCCGCATGACCACACCTAGGCCCACAGCATACATCTGCAGTGCAGGAAGTGGCCTTTTCCTTTAGGACACCTCCTTTCCCTACTTAAGGGATTAAACTTCCAACCCCTGACTCTCCTGTCCTACCCATCCGCCCGTCTCTGCTTTTTCTTACCTCCTTCCCCACACTCACTTGTCCCCTTGGTTACAATGTAGCTCGTAAACTCGTGAATCCCAAAGAAAGTATCAGCAGAAGCCACAACGTCGCAGAATGACTCACTAACGAGTCTCCAGCCCCTTCCACCGCTCTGCAGCGGTCCCACCGCCGTGGCCCTGAGCCTCCCGCAGCGACACCAGATAAGGAGGGAAGTTTTCTGAAATCCAAGGAAGAACCTTAAATGAAGGTTCCTTCTCCACCCCTGAGGCGTCTTCTGCTCTAAGGCAGGAGTAAACGACCCATTTACCGGTTCCTATGCAAATAGACAAACGTTTCCCTGAGGCAGAAAGAAAACAAACACAATTCCCCCCAGGCTCTCCCCGAAGGTTCCTAGCAACACATCCACCTCCGCAGCAGGCGCAGCGCTCGCAGGCCAATTCCCAAACCAGCGTTACCGATCAGTCCTCCTGCACAGCCAACTTCCCCTGCGTGCCCCGCTCGCTCATCCTCTGCACCAGAGCTGCAGTTGGCAAGGTCGAGTGGGCTCCGGAAGGCAGGACGAGAGAGCCCCCGGAATACACAACCCGATGAGAGGAGGAGAGGAAAGGAAGGAATTGAGGAAGGGTTGACCTTGAGAATTTCCCCGAGTTATATATATAGCGAAGCTGGGCCTGCTTAGACACTGCAAATTCACTCCATCTGGGAGAGGACTTGGGAAGGTGGAGAGCAAAAGGTATGAAAATGCAGAGCTCAAATCTACTGATGGGGGAGGGGCAGGGCGTTCAGAGAACGAGCGAGTCCCCACTCAGTCCCCCGGGCGGCTGGCATATAGGCGGTGCCCAGCGCTGGTGCCCATCGAGGGCCAGTGCTCCTTGCTGCCCGCAGGGGCTAGGACTCACCTGGATCACCTTCGCACGGCTGGTGCAGACCCAAGCTGCGCAGCGTGAAGTGGGTGCGGCGCGCTCGGCCTCTAGCAGGGCTGGCAGGGAGCAGGCCCGCCTCCGCCCGGGGCAGCGCGCGGCCACACCTCCAAGGCGGGACTCCCGGCGCAGGGCGCGCCTTCAAAGTTTGCCAACTCCGGGCACTGCTTGGGAAGGGGAGACGAAATTTTCTTCCCGCACTTGGTCTTCCACAGATTTACCCCATCCCATTTCCGAATCCATATATCTACTCCCTTCCGCAAGTGCCTTCGTGGCCGCCTTCCTAAAATGTCCCAGCGAATTCACAGTTCTCGGATTGGGCTTGCAAAACAATGGAACCTTCATAATTTATCCCCAACAGAGCCACCGTAGCTTGGTTCTAGGCTCTCTTCAGTAAGGGTAGGCAGAGGCTTGCACGGCGCGTGCGCGGAAGTAGCAGTGTCCCGGTTGGTGCTTCCGGCGGCTTGTGACTGGGGACAGGAGGCTCTCAGTGTCTCAGATTGCTATACTCAGTAAGGGAAAGGATTTAGGGATGTTATGGCTTATGGGTTTCCCTAACTAGTAAGTATAGTTGTTAGTTTTGCAGGGAGCCGAACCGAGTCCTGCTCGCGAGATGGGCCGCACCCACCCTAGCCTAGCCCCCCAGCTCGCCGGCTCGGTAGTCCCGCCTTCCCAATTCTTCCACCGGGAACCGGATGGCTCCGCCTGCGAGACCCACAGACATTCGATTGTGAACACGCCTGAGTTACGCCCTGGTGCCTGGCTTCGGGGGCGGATTCGAGGCGATGAGGCCTGCAGGCAGAGTCGGGCTGAAGGAGTAGAAGTTGCTTCTGAGTGCTGCAAACTCCACCAAAGGAGCTGACCGCAGAAGGCACCAAACTTTCCACTCTTCCGTGCATTAAGTGCCCCCCCCCCTCCTCTGGACACCGCATATCCTATAAGGGTTGCCACACCTGAGCCTCCTCTAGCGTCTCCTCTTTGGGTTTTCTCACCTCTATGGGAGGGTGCTTGGGAGCTGAACGATGCGGAAAGGCTGGAATCTAAATTTTAGAAGGCTCTAGGTTGGGTGTTTGTTCCTTTTTATTGGGTTGTCATATCCACACATCTAGAAGTATTTTGGGGGCTCATAAAATCTGTTGTTTCCGCAATTTCCAACTCTTGTGATTTCTCCTGAAGTACGAGTAGTCCTCATATTTTAGGGGTTCTGGCATGTTGGGTGTGCATGGCTTGTTATAATTGAACATTGAAGTGAAGCAAGTAGGAAAACATTTCCACATTATTGAGAAAGATTTCACACACACACACACCCATGCTGACTGTTCTGTGTAAGAAAGGGCAGACTGACCTGGTAGAAGGGATGAATGAAAACTCAGGATAATTCTGGCCTCTCCTTTTCCAGTTATCCCTGTTTGACCACAGACAAGTACTTAACCACTGAGAACCTTCTTTTAAAAATCTCATTACAAAAGCAAATGTTTATTGTAGAAATTTTGGGAAATACAGAAAAAACCCACAAGAAATGACCCAGAGAATACAGTCATACTGTATTTACTGTTTTGCAGTCTTCTCTACCCACTAATAGATCTGCAACATAATCAGCACCATTTTATTTTATTTTATTATTATTATTTTTTTTTATAAAGATGAACGGTAAGGGGATCTTAACCCTTGACTTGGTGTTGTCAGCACCACGCTCACCCAGTGAGCAAACTGGCCATCCGTATATGGGATCCGAATCCGTGGCCTTGGTGTTATCAGCACCGCACTCTCCTGAGTGAGCCACAGGCCAGCCCGACCAGCACCATTTTAGACAAGCCCAAGTACAAAACGGCGCTGTCCACCTCCTCCCCTCCCCGCCCCTTCCCCATTCTCTTTTACAAGAGCCTCACGGTTTTGGAGAAAATGCCGCATGCACAGAACTCTCCATTCCCATGACCTAACTCAATCCCCATCTGGGAATTACAACACCCAGCTCTTAGCGCCAACATACCAATATAAGCTCTACCACCCCCACACCTGGTGCTGTCCCCCATTTTCAGGGCAGCCCCGGACTGTCCTCCGTTTTGAGTACAGCCCAGCAGATTTCTTTCTTTAATAAAGCTTGAACGGTACCTAGCATCTCGGCCCACTTTCTTTCACCCACCTCACAAATTGTAAACCATTTCCTTGAACAATTCATTCTGCAACATTATTTGACTGCAGGTTGTTTCATATCACTCCTCTTGTAGGAGTTAGCTTGTTTTCAATTCTTTCCTATTCCAAACAGTGTACAATGTTGTCAATAAATCCGTGTACATGCTTTTTTGTTTTGTTTTTGGGGGAGGGCTGGCAAGTAAGGGGATCCGAACACTGGTGTTAGAACACTGTGCTCTAACCAACTGAGCCAACCAGCCAGCCCCTTATGTTTTGTTTTGTATTTTGCATGCTTACAATTTATTTTTTATTTATTTATTTTTTATTTGTGACTGGTAAGGGGATCATAACCCTTGGCTTGGTGTCGCCCGCACTGTGCTTGGCCAGTGAGCGTACCGGCCATTCCTATATAGGATCTAAACCTGCGGCCTTGGCGCTCCCAGTGCCACTGCGCTCCCAGCGCTGCACTCTCCCGAGTGAGCCACAGGGTTGGCCCTTACAATGATTTCTTTTGGCTAAATTACTTTAAAGAGGAATTTCTGGGTCAGAGAATTACATACCTTTTAAAGTCTTTTGATAGCTATTAACAAGATGCACTCTAGGAAAAAAGTTATAGTACTCTCCAATACTGGATATTGGATGTCATTTTTCTCCATCTCCAAATGGGAATAAAACTGTTCTCACAAGGTTGTTGGGAAGTTTTTGGTTTTTTTTTTTTTTGGCAGCTGTCAGTCCAGGGATTGAACCATGGACCTTGGTGTTATCAATACCACAGTCTAACCAACTTTGCTAACTGGCCAGCCATTGTGAAGTTTAAATGAAGCGAGGACAAAGTGCAACCTGTTGGGAAAATATAGGAAAATGGTCAGGGCTTGTCAGATGTTCAGAATCTTGCTGAGCACTTGATATAAATATGCACATGTGTCCAGGTGTTACTTGGTTATTGTCTAATGTAATCGCTCATGTGCACCCAGGTGTCCTGGGTTATGGACTTAAGTGTAAAGAATGAGTGGCTCTGATCCACAATGCGGTGAGCCACAGCGAGGCCGCTATTGCTGCTAAAGGCTGTTGCTGCAATCTGTTGCTGCCAGGGCCTCCAGGATGCCCCGAGAGGCCACCACCGCTGCTGCTGCTGCTGCTGAGGACTGAGCTCGTGTCCTCTTCCAATGGCTCCTGGGATCTTTCCCAATTACCTAGTGTGGACCTGCATGTGAGGTGACCCAGCCTGTGCAATGGGTTTGAAGGGTCTGTGAGTCCTTATCCTGTTGGCTTTTGTTATGAATTGCTTTAACAATACAATTGGCGTAGCTATTAGCTATTGCTTCAGCCTGACAACTGGCGGAATCATGTAGCTTAACAAGACCCCTCACATGCCAGGCTAGGTCACCAGACCCCTTACATGCAGGTCCATGCTAGATAATTGGGAAAGATCCCAGGAGCTGTTGGAAGACAACATGAGCTCAGTCCTCAGCAGCAGTGGCAGCAGCTTCTTGGAGCGTCCCAGGGACACTGCCAGCAACAGCTTGCAGCAACAGCCTCTAGAAGCAGTAGCAGCCTCCCTATGGCTCCCCGGAGACATCTGGGGATGGGGGGCACTGTGGATCAGAGCCACTCATTCTTTATACTTAAGTCCATAACCCAGGACACCTGGGTGCACATGCGCAATTACATCAGACAATAGCCAAGGAACACGTGGGTACATGTGCATATTTACATCAAATGCTTGGCACAATTCTGAACATCTAAGGGGCCCTGACCATTTTCCTTCACTTTCTCTACAGTGTTTATGGCACCTCAAAACAGTTTCCTTTCTAGTCTTTCTTCCCTAGTTTAGACCTTAAGTCTCCTCTGATCTGTACAATTACAATAACATTTTAACTGGCTTCTTTTTCAAAATTCATCATCAACTGCCATCACAGTTATCTTTCTAAGGCAGATCTCTTCTACTGTGACCATTGCTTTTAGGATGAAATTCAAACTCTCAAACATGGCATGTCAAGATCCTTAACAGTCTAACTTCAAACTACTTTTCCAGAATCTTCTCATTTAACATTAATCTAATAAATATTTGCCAAGTGCCCATGGAATGCCAGGCACTAATAGAACTTACATTTTAATAGGGGAACCTGTCAATAAAAACAATAAAATAATCACAGATTGTGACTGTCTTAGTCTGTTTTGTGCTGCTATAACAGAATACCTGAGACTGGGTAATTTGTAATGAACAGAAGTTTATTGGCTCATAGTTCTGAAGGCTGGGAAGTCTGTAGGGAAAGTGAAGGTAAATGGTCAGTCTACCTCGAGGGTTTGGAATCTTGCTCAGCATCTGATGTAAATACGTTAACTGTGCACATCTGCCCAGGTGTTCCTTGTTCCTTGGCTACTGTCTTTTTTTTTTTTTTTTTAAATAAAAGGTGACCAGTAAGGGGATCTTAACCCTTGACTTGGTGTTGTAAGCACTACGCTCTCCCAAGTGAGCAAACCGACCACCCCTATATAGGGATCCGAACCTGTGGCCTTGGTGTTATTAGCACCATACTCTACCAAGTGAGCCACGGGCCGACCCTCTTGGCTATTGTCTGATGTGGATGCGAGTGGGCACCCAGGTCTTCCTGGGTTATTGACTTAAGTATAAAGGACTAATGGCTCTGATTCACAGTGTCCCCACCCGTGGGATGCCCTGGGACACCCGGTGGGGGGGCCATAGGGAGGCTGTTACTGCTGTTGGAGGCTGTTGCTGCCAGGGGCCCCAGGAATGCCCCTGGGAGGCCACCACCACTGCTGCCGCTGCTGCTGAGGAAGCCAAGCAAGTGGGAACACTTCCCACTAGCCACCACCTCCCAACACTGTTGCACTGGGGATGAAGTTTGCAGCTCACACATTCTGGGGACACATATAAACCATAGAAGTGACTGAGATTTCAATCTAAGGCTTTAGGAGGCATGGAAAATTTCTGTCATCTCT